GAAGCTTGCCCTTGAATCAAACTGAGTTAAATATCTTTTGCAAGTGATCTAGATTGAACCAAATTGGGAAAATGATCCTCGCTTCACATGATTTCACCCCCAACCTATATAAAATTTGAGCTCACCTTTTTGTGCTAATTGTTGACAAAGGGGGAGAGAAATTCACAAAGATAGTAAGATAGGGGGAGCAAACAAATGAAATGACATTGTAAGGAGATCAATTAAAATTTGAAGCACACAAGTAGGGGGCAAGCTCATAAACTTGTTTGTTGCATTTGAATGTGCATTACATATGTTTGCTTACATGGCACAAGTTTTGAAATTCCATATCCATGCTTATGTGGTGTATGCTAGATTCTAGAAAATGATTGATGAAATGAAAACTAGCATGCATAGGATAGCTAGATATTCCTTGATCTTTTACAAGTGGTACTAGAGCCTTGCTTCTAATGTTGATCTCACGAGGTATCTAGTTCTTTGTGTTTTTAAAGTGATATCTAGCAAACCATGGTGCTAAGGATGGTGTTCAAATGACAACTCCGATTGGTATCACGTTTCAAAGGTCCATTCTTTACACCTTAGCATTATTTGGTAGCTATTACTCTCCTAAACTTCCAATCCATGTATATCTGCAAGCTTTCAAATCCAAACTCTTAGCACATATGTAGGGGGAGCTAATACTACCAATTTGGGTTTATGAAACTTGTCCATAACCTTTACACATGGTAATATGCTTAGACAAGCAACATGAATCCAAAATGATTTCATTGAATATCTTTGTAAATAGGTTGTCATCAATTACCAAAAAGGGGGAGATTGAAAGCCCTAGTTTGGTTTTGGATAATTGATGAAACTTAGGACTAACCTTTGATCTAAGTGTGTGAACTAGATGAGGTAGTCCAATTCAAATGGTGATGCTAGTTGATGGTCATGGTGAAGGTGATGGCCACAAAAGAGATGATCAAGTGCTTCACATTTGGAAAAGAAGAAAGAGAAAAACAAAAATGGGCTTAAGACAAAGGTATAATGATAGAAGCCATTTTTGGTTTACACTCAAGACACCATAGAGGGTGTGAGTGATTTAGGATCAATAGTCGTACTATAAAGAGGGAAAATCTTTGGCTAAGCGGTTATCGAGTGCAACTAGGGGACATGATTCTTGCATATACATTTAGAAACCTAGTGTGCTAACTTTGACCCTTGTAAAATGCTAACACACGTGCACTCAAGTTCTACACCCTATGGTTAGCATCTTGGAAGCAAGGGCGAAGCGGTTGTGGACTTAGAAAAAGAAAAGGAGTTAGGGTAGGACCGGACGCAGGCCACGGGGTGGACCTGCGCGTCTGGTGCCTAGCCCTAGGTGGCATGGCGCTCAACAGAGAAAGCACGCAGTGGCAAGCGGACGCTGGTAGCAGCGTGTGACCGGACATGCAGGGGCTGCGTTAGGTCCATGCTAACGTACGCTGGCGTCATCACCATGGGTGCGTGCAGCAGAGTAGTGTGAGGACTGAACGCTGGGGCGCATCATGTCAATGTTGATCGAACACATCCGGTCATTATTTTTTGGCTCTGGAACCTCTCTGGAAATGATCTAACGCTAGAGTGCTCTAGGTTCGGTCATCGCATAGGCGCGTCCGATCCTAACTTAACTGCGCGAGCGCTGGAACTTGACCATTGAGATCGGGTGACTACGCTTGAACACGGGGGCCACGTGGCGGCAAATGCATGACCGGATGCTAGCGCGGTGCATTCGGTCATCCTGACCGGCACGTCTGGTCAGCACGTAGAGCCCTCTCCCTTGACCCTAACGGCTTTATTCGTTTGAGGGGCTCTATAAATAGTGTTTGGCCGGCTTGGGGCTCACTCTCTTGGTATTTTGATATAGTTGACATCCTTGTGAGCCTAGGCAAACACCTTCCACTCATCTCCATCATTGATTCATCATCTTATTGAAATTAGGAGTGATTCCAAGTGCATTTGCTTGAGTGATTGCATCTAGTGGCACTTGGGGATTGTTGTGGCTGCATATTTCTTGTTACTCTTTGTGGTTGCTGCCACCTAAACGGCTTGGAGTAGCGGAGGAGCTTCGGCACGTGTTGGTCATTGTTCGTGGCCGGCTCCGGTGATCGTGAGGGGTCTTGTACCTTCCCCGGTGGAGAGCCGAAAGGTAACTCTAGTGGATTGCTCGTGTCATTGAGTTACCTCACTTGTGGGTAGGTTCTTGCGGTGTCCATTTGTTAGACGAGGTTTGTGCAACACCTCTTAGCCGCTGAACCATAAAGTGTTGGTCGACACAACGGGGACTAGCGTGTCAGTAAGCACGTGAACCTCGGGAGAAAAATCGTGTGTCATTCTGGTGATTGGATTGACTTCATATTGTGATTGGGTTTATTCCTGTACACGGTGGTATAATCACCCTACTCACTCATTTACATTTATTGTAAACTAGCTGCCAAGCTCTTTAGTGTAGTTAGTCTTTGAGAGCTTGTTAGTTTGGTTAGTGTGGCTCTTTAGTTAGTCTTTGAGAGCACACTAGCTTAGTGAGTATTGACCTAGCTTGTTGTGTGCCTAGTGATCATAGCAACTAGAATTGTTGGGATAGATGGCTTGCAACCCTTGTAGAGCTAGAGCAAAATTTTATTACGCCGTTTGTTGTACTAATTAATTGCTCTAGCGTCTTGTAGAGTTTTTAAATATGCTATTCACCTCCCTCTATCCATATTAGGAGCTTTCACCAACGACACCGACACCTCCCATCATGCCTCTCTCGTGCCTTTTCTTTGCTCTCCCAAAGGTTGTGACCTGAGCTCTGGCTAATGATCAAACTGATGAGGCAGCAGCGACAAACGGTGCTAGGAATTGCCTGTCTACGCCCTTCTGCGGTGCATGAAGGGGATGCGGATGCCAAATTATGGCCTTTTGATTGTTTACCCTGTTCTATATCCATCTCTGGCCTTATCTTACTTCATCTCGGGTGAGGATTGCTGTGAAGTTCTTGCTCTTGATGACTTGGATTTGCAGGTGGTTGATCTCTCAAGGGCGGTTAGGGCTCCTACGTTGAGAGTTTAAGCATAGACAAAAAAAAGATTGGGTGTAAACACTAGTGTACCTAGTTTGGGACATGGGGTGGGTCAATAAAGAGGTATCTAGAGATCAACTACGGAGTCACCCCGTCTAGCTCGAGACAAATAGAGGACTTTTCCTAGGTTGCACCTTATTTCAAGGCTTAAGGAGTTAAAGTAAAAGCTCACTCTAGCTTAACAAGAGCGTTTTTGTAAAGTTTTAATTGGGGTGGTATCCGGGTCATGATAGGGCGACCAACCCGGCTCAGCCTATTGGTGGATCCACCACTTCATATACAATTCTCTCTGCTCTTTGTCCTTTGTCTTTGTCAAATTATCCATGATCCAACCACGTGCGCAGTATCATATGAGCAATCACGCTTTACTTGACACATGTAGTTGGATGAAATCAGCACAACACAAACCGAAGGTGATCTCAATCCCAGCCTTCAAGGGTACATGCCTGAACTGATGAGGCGATAATGTAGCTGGAGACGACATATAGGCCCTGTTTGGATACTCTAGCACAGCTAGAGGTTAGAGTTAGTTTCTAGCTCAGGACTAGCCCTGAACTAACTCTAGCCTAAGGGATGTTTAGATACAAGGGTTAAAATGATAATAAATGTGCTTTCCAAATCATTGGTGCGGGTGAAAGTAGAGAGAAAACAGTGGACCCCACCTCAAATAGCCCCAACTAGCCCAAATAATCACCTCTTTGGGGGATAGTTTTTTAGGGTGGGTTAGTTGCAAATAACCCACTCTAGCCCTCCTGTTTGGCTACTTTAGGGCTAGTTGAGCTCCAACTAGCCCAAACTAGCTTTAACCCATGGATCCAAACAGGACCATAGTACAAGAGTGTGCAAGATGATGTCAAGCGCGACGTGCGCGCCGGTCAGGTGTGTCGACCCTGCCACGTGGCCGCAACCTCCTCCTCCCGCCCCTGATCGCAACCTGCATGGCGACCGCCCCACGCCAAGCCCATCACAGGATATTCATTTTTGCCTTTATTTTCTATTTTTAATACATATACATATATACACAATATATAGAAGTTTTTGACAAAAAGAAATTGGGTATTCAACTGGATACCCTTGAATTGAGCTGGGCCAACCCTTGGGCCCATGGTGCCGCCTCGAGCAAGGCATCATGTTGCTGCCCTCCATGGCCGGTCAGGGCCCTGATCCTAGCGCCATGCCACCACCCTTCGAGGCCACCCGTGGCTCTGAGCCTCTCTGTGTGTCCTCGCCTTTGATGGCTAGGTGCAGCCAAAGGCTAGCCGTCGTTCCGTGCAACTGCCCTTCGTGGCCCACCCCGTCTACGATCAAGGTTTTCCTACGCCGCACAGGAGTCAGGTAGGTGAAAGAGATAAGACCATCTAAATGGATAGACAGGGGTACCTTGGTCTTTTCTCTCGTGCCACACATGTTCATTTAACGGCAAAGACAAACAAGACTGTTAGAAATGTCGAATAAGCAATGAAAGATAAAACTGGTGTTAAATACAAAAGATTAGAATTTTCAGTGTTAAATAAAAACACGATTTTTCAGTGATAAATAGAGAATTTTTGTCTTTCTTAATTGAGTTCAGCTAATACACCCAATGTCACTCGTGGAATAATCTGGAAGGCTTGAGATATTTCCCCGCTGGATCAGGCAGATGAGACAGCAGTATCACGAGCGTTGAGCTTGAGCGAACCCAACGCGCATATCCGCAGTCCGCAACCAGAGCAAGCCCACCACCCAACCAAACCCAGACGGCAACCGTTGTCATCTCTCATCACTCCACCGCCCCGTCCGCGCACGGCTCGCCGGCAGTCACTCACACACCCAGCACGACACCATCGTCCCCTGGCCTTCCTCCCGTGCACCTACCGCACGCGCCACCGCGGAAAGTAACCTCGAGATCCAGCGCCGTCGGCACGACCAGGCCTGCGCAGGGATGGGGCGGAGAGGGGAGCCCTACTACGTCGAGGCGGCGCCGCCGGTGGACGTGAACAAGAACACAGAGTGGTTCATGTACCCGGGCGTCTGGACCACCTACATCCTCCTGCTCTTCTTCGTCTGGCTCCTCGTCCTCTCCGTCTCCGGATGCTCCCCGGGGGCTGCCTGGACCGTCGTCAACCTCGCGCACTTCGCCGTGAGTCCCCACTCTCTATCCCGTCCCCGGCCCCTCGCCCTTTCTACTGGGGTTTGCTTACGAGCGGTTGCTCGCGCGATCGACTTTTGATTTTGCGCATGTTTCGTCCCCCTCTATCTCAAACTGGATTGCTTCCGTCCACTGTATCCCCAGATTTAGTTGTACTGGTAGTTGGATTTACTAATTAGCTCCTCGGTGTGATTATTTCTGCTTCCCAACTGTTTGCGGCCATTCACGCTCCAGCAGGACTGTTTGATTCTTGCTCTGCGTGTACGTGTTTAGCCAAAAAGATTATGTTCTTTGCCATGATGCGAAGGCGGAATCTGTGTAGGATTAGAGTGACAGTTCATCTTCAATTAAAATATTTCCTCAGCCTATGCCCATGGATTTCTACGAATATAGGAAAGCCATAGAAGAAATATTTTACGAGATGAAATATTAGTAGTATAAACTGTCTTTGTCAGGCTGGGTGTGCTATTATGTTAGCTTATCATAAATTTTGTTCCCCGTTTGTTTGTGGAACGATTTCCCTTGCATAAAAGTCAAAACAAGCACGCCATTGCTGGCCAGGACCATTTCTTTGTTTACTCAGAGCAGGTTGTTATCAGATATTTACTATTGAAAGGTCCATTTATGTGTACTATGAAGAACAGCAGTTGATCGAATTTTGGTTAGGTTTCTATAACAAGAATTGTTCATATTAGTGGTCTAGGACAGGCTTCACATTGTAATCTGCAGACATGTATTGTTCCATAATCAAGATTTGGACTTGCACATGTCATGGTGGCCTGAAATACGAGCCTTGTAACTTATGTTTGGCAATTCTCATCTTGGGATAAAGATATTATGTGTCTTTCTGGGACAGGGATGTGTTTGAAACAAATTTATCTCTTCAACTCTGAAGATGCATTTCATGCCATCTGCAATATCACATTATTTTTAACACAAGTGGTGGCATAGATTCGTCCAATCTCTCTCTATCCCTCCCTCCCTCCCTCCCTCACTCACTCACTCACTCACTCATTCATGTTCCTTGCCTGTTCAATTTCAGTTGACACACTTAAAATGTTCTATTTTCAGATCACTTACCACTTCTTCCATTGGAAGAAAGGAACCCCTTTTGCTGCTGATGACCAAGGCATCTACAGCAGATTGACATGGTGGGAGCAAATTGACAATGGTCAGCAGCTTACTCGGAACAGAAAGTTTTTGACTGTGGTACCTGTGGTGCTGTAAGTTGCATCTCATCCTTGTGGTTTGCACTTCAACAAATTACTCTTTAGATTCTGGAAAGGAAACTTATACTAATCAGTACGGGCAGTGGTTGCTTGTGCAACCATATTCCACTTCGTTCCTAATCAACTTGTGTTGTCATAAGTCTCTGCCTATTATAAAAAGCACAAAACATGATAGAGCATAGTTATACACTTGTACTGATGCCATGCTTTTTGGATAGACAAAATTATGTTAATGATGCACCATGCTTTTTGGATAGACAAAATTATGTTAATGATGCATTATAAAAGGAGTTTATAGACAACAACAACAATAAAAAGGTTTGTATTATCTAACCAACCCTAAATATTAGGAAAATTCTCTTCCAGCTATTATCCAACTACACTTTTTTTTTTTGCAAATAACTACACTTTGTTGCTGCTGTGCCTTTAGGGACTAATTTGTTGCTTGTGATCGAAAATTTAAAACGAGAAGAACTAGGGTTTTCATGAGCAGTGCAAAATTCGGCTGATAATTAATCAGTTAGTATCTCCGAGTGCCGCAAAGGCAGTTGAATCTCGACATTTTATTACACTTCCTTTCATAAGTGCAGCATCTTAGCATTTTTGACAAAGTTAAAACTATAAGGCTTGAAGCTAGTCATGTTAAAATTTTGTATGCAATCAACAACAATGTCATTGTATTTTTGAAACCAAGTTGATATTGTCATATTGAGTGGCATATATTCTAAGGTGTGTTCTTCCAGGTATCTGATTGCATCGCACTTGACTGACTACAAGCAGCCGATGTTTTTCCTCAATACGATAGCAGTTTTTGTGCTGGTTGTGGCAAAATTGCCGAACATGCACAAGGTCCGCATATTTGGAATCAATGCAGACATCTGAGGACCACTGCAAGAAGTGCATGGGCGATGCCATGATGTTATGAGGAGCTACACAGAACAAGCAGTGTGTTTATCAAACTCGGCACAACTGTCTGTAATATATGTACAGGTTTAGAAAGAACTGTAAATGTTACTCTAGCATACAAGGTTTGCCTGCAGACTGCTCTGTGTTGTTGCCGTTGCTGCTTTCTTTTTAGCTTCACTGGAAGTGGAAACGGTAACTTGGTAAACAACAACCAGCATGTGGATAAGTGTGTAGCAGTTGGTAAGATGGAAAACTGTGTAGCAGATGTTGTTTGGTATTTGGTAAGATGGAACCCAGAAATCAGTAAATTTCATCTCTGTCTTAGCCCCTTTGCTTATTATCTGCTCCCTCAATTCCAAATTATTTAGGCCACTTTACCGTTCCAAATTATTTAGGTCACTTTACCTTTATGTAAGTCAAACTTCTCCAACTTAACTAAGTTTAGACCAGTCTTAATAGGGGTTTTATGTCACTGTTTCAAGACTGTTGGAAACAATGTAGACAAGCTTCATCTCCACAAACTCATTTCATCCTATGAAACTTTTATTATATCTCATCTCAAGCTCATTTCATCCTATGAAATTTTATTATCTCTCTTCATCAATGTCACATTAGCTTATTTAATATCTATGAAATTCTCATAAAGAAATCCTCATTGGGACAATATTAAATTAGCTTCACTCAATTATATGGGGACCAGGGTCATATTAAACTGCTGGAGATGCTTATCTCCAAGAATCCAACAACGTGTGGGACTCTCTGTCCGAAAGAGTACGCCTCCAATTTTAAATAAGCAAGATAGCAAAATATGGCCACCGTGATCATATTCCTGCCCTTGTAAAAGCCATATTATCTAATATAAAATCTTCACAAGTTCCTACAAGAGACCATTGAGAAGTACAACGTCTACATGCCCAACAATCACCAAATCTGTTTCTAAGAAATCCCACATCTGTTTATCACAAGTCAACTGAGTTGTATTGTTGTAAAGTTGAAAGGTGGCAATGAGTCAAAACTTCAACATCTTTGTCTTGTCTCAGTCATTGTAGCTTTGTTTGTTTATCTCAGCCAGAGTAACTTTTTCAATGCCTCTTTGCAACAGCTCAAGGCTTGCCATTTCGTTCAAGACATCTTTAGAAGCATTATGTGATAGTTATTCTATAATCAGTGGCCAATCATGGTAACAACTGACAAATCAGACTGAATACATATTCTAAAGGTGGTTTGTACATCGCACAGGATTATAGTGCAGCATTTCAAGGTTAAAAAGGTCTCACCACGACGCAGCGGACCTGAGACCTGTTTTAACCAAATTCAGAGTACATGCAAATTTTGCACATGAATCGAAGGATGTTGATGTACCGGTCTTTATGGCTGATAAAAGAACAATCACCTCTAAGCTAGTAACTTTGCTAGTTCATCTACTCTTAAGGTACCTTGAGGAACAACATCAGATAGAAACTCTTGTGCATGGTCATTTGTCTGCATTGCAGATCCTCCATTAGCAATACATTTCTTTTCAACATGACTGCTGGACAGTTTATTTTCTACAAGATGTTTTTTAATTCTTGCATGATTGTCTGGCCCATTTCTCCTGGCGCTGGACTTCCTTTGAGTACGCTCAAAAAACAGGCTTCGCGGAATTGACTTTGTAAAAGCAACAGACTTTTCATAGACCAGATCTGAATCAACAAGCTCATCTTCACTCAGAACAAGTGCCCTGCCACTGTCAACGGCCTGTTCCAAAAGGCATAACAATCCCTCTATATAGGATGGAACTTTAGAACCACTATTTAGAACTGTACCTTTTATACCATCGTTTCTTTTCCTCTTCGTCTCCAAATTATAATCATCTGGAGAATGTTCTGACTTCTCTGCCAGGCCTCTATTTTCACTATTGTTTGTCGGGATACTTTGGCACTTCAGGGATGGATCCATAATATCACATACTGGCTTTAATGGTGAATATTCCAATGGAGTATCTGCTGAGGGTTCAGTTCTAGATATACCTGTAAAATGGAACAATGTTGGAACTTCCTTTGCAGAATTCAGTACCGTATCACTGGCAATGGAATCTTTAAATTTTTCTTGACCTTCACCCAAGTTGCAGTTCTTGTGAGATGTTGCAACACTGACCAACTCAATCTGGGTAAGAACATTTCCTGAATGTGTAACCTTTTCATTAGATTCTTTGCCACTAAAACCTTCTTGCACCTTTGTCACTTCAAAACTATTTTCTTCTAATGGAGGAAGAGATGATTTCCAATCACTTCCTCTCCACATCAGTATATGCTCAAACTCAAAACACAGTAAGATACAGGGAACTAGATCCTGTGAAGGTAGAGTTCATCAACTTCTGAACAAAATAATCCATGACTAAATAACATTCTTCAAGATTGATCGAACCTTTAGTTTAGCCCCAATTTTTCTGCAATCACTTTTGTTAAGATCTGAGCAATCAACACGGACAAGATCACATGCTTCAAATGCTTCTCTGACTTGCTTCACAAGGTTGGCATAAACACCATTTTTCCCTATATAAAATTGGACAAGTTAATGGGTGTACAAAGAGTTGGTAAAAGTACAATTACTGAACGATACATTGCATACAAATGTGCTATGTTGCTGTTGGATACTTGGATATAAATATAATATGCACAGCAGCATGAAAGAATTTGAAGGGCAGGCCTGGTGCAGTGGTGAGAGCTGTCTCACTGAGTCACTAGGTCACGGGTTCGAAGCAGCCTCTCCGCAGATTTTGCAGAGGGGAGGTTTGCCTCGGTTTTTCCCTTCCCTAGACCCCAATCATGTGGGAGCCTCCAGCACTAGGTCTGCCCCCTTTATGAAAGAATTTCAGACAACCAGGAGGAACCAAGAGTACAGGACAGCTATCAAATGTTCCCCGCTCTCTCTCAACAGGACAGGGAGCCATTCGGGGGCACCTAGTTGGCAAATAGGCCAGTGCCAGGCACCCAGGTCCCGTAAAATCTTGCCAGATCTCCATGTGTGCACAATTCAAGGGCCCATGAAAAAAACAACGAAGGGAGGATGCTCTCGGCAACCCTCCCCTCCCTAATTGGTCGCCGGTTGCCTCTCTCCACTACCACCAGGACTGCAGTAGCTCTCCATCATATGTTGTCAGCCTCATTACCTGAGCAAGTGAGGCAATGCAGAGACGGTGGCCACCTCAAGGAATGGAGTTGTGAAGAGGCCATCTCTTTCCAGTTTTGGCTGCTGCTTTCTCACTCCTAGTCATCTATTATTGAGTTGCATGCACAACCAGTTCAACCCAAAAACTTAAGTTGATAAGAAAAGGTGGGCAATTCACTTATACTTCAACACTCCCCCTCACGTGCAAGCTCCCATAGGCTTCAAATATGGAAATAGGAGTCAGCTGCGATTATTTTTATTTAATTTCAGCCCACCAGGATTTGAACTCAAGACATCTCGCTCAGATACCATATTGAATTGTATGCACCAACCAACTCAACCCAAAAACTTAAGCTGATAGGAAAAGATGGGCAATTCACTTAAATTTCAACAGCTATCCTCGCCAATCCCTGCCACAACATGCCTCGCGGCCATCACAAAACCAATGCCAAATATCTCCACCGCCACTGGACTCTTAGAGTTGAATCACAAGCTCGGTGCATGCTGATCTGATTGGCCAGTGCTTCTTTTGGTTGAGTAGTGAGCACTTTGCTGCAAACTGCAAGAATGCATCTAGCTACTTCTGTTATAAGCGTAAGGTCACATAGCTCGCAATTACATGCAGCCTCAGTCTTACATGAGTTAAGTTGAATGGCCAATCGTGTCAGCAGGTGCTCCTCCCAGAGCACCCCGATCAGTCAGGCTGTAGACTTGTAGTAGGTGTCATCGCTTGATTCCTCTCCATCTACAGTTCTGTCAGATGCTGCGCCTTCATCTCCATCCATCCATGAGGCATCTGCTTGATTGTGAGAACTGGAAATTGCCATCCACGCTCTAGGGAGATGGAGTGCAGGAATACTCTCTCGCAGGCTTCATTCGCCATCACCGATTGCTCCTGTCCTTCGGTATTGTTGGCACAGGTGCAACGAATTGTTGTTCAGTTTGAAGAAATTCCATCACTTGTGACCTCCTTGGTGCGAAGGATTTGTGGTCTCACCTTGAAGCCATCAATGATAGATAGTCAGGGAATGAATTTCCTAGTCAAGGTTGCCATGGCGGATGGATGGGATCTGAAGATCCTTGAAGCATCTATCTGTCCACCTCGGTTGGTAGTCAAGGATCCTGGTTGCCAGGCCACTTCCAATGGGATCTATCTCATATTGTGGTCAGTTGGAGTCATTGGTTTCCATCTAGGCATTGTGTTGGTCGAAGAGTCATGCAAGGTGGTGTTCGGTCTTTGCTTTGGTCAGGTAACATGTTGTCTGACCATTGCTTTGGTTGTGTAAGATGTTGTCAAAGCCTCAAAGGCATGCTTTGGTCATGTAAGGTCATTGTTTTGGTCGTGTAAGGTCATTGTATTTGACTATTTTGGTCTTTCTTTCTCTCAACACAAGATCTCCTGTGTGTTTAGAAAAAAAAACTTTACATATCTGTATAGTCCATTTTTTAATCAGCACACATAGTGTATGATCATATAGTACTTTTAGGCTTTTAAGAAATGGTGCGTCTGAACAAAAACATGTTTTAAATTTAGCCAAAATACTTGTCAATGAGTTAAGCATCAGTATAAGCCAAAATTTAGTCAGTGATTTCCCTTAAACAAGGGAGCACATGAAATATGCTGTATATCCAAAAGTCAGAACAGTTCAAAGGAACCGACACTCCGAAAAAAGGAAACTAGCCTTACCAAGTTTGCAAATTGGTGGTAACTGGCGTCCTCTCGTGCGCATTTCTGTGGCCTCGTCTGGAGTTAAGCCACCTGGGACCTTCGTGACAAGGCGCGGGTACACAGGTGCAACAGGTTTCCAGAGCATAAGCGGAAAACA